CACACACACACATGAGAGTAGATACCTTTATAGCCATTTTACATTGCTGTAGCATGCAAACATATAATCAGTGGGTATGTAAATATTTATATGTGTACACACACATTTAGTTTCTCCCCTTTCCTAACAATTTTAATGACTATTAAACATGATCTGAATTACACTTTTAAAGTATAGCTCTGAAAGGGTACAAAAGAAACATAAAAAAGCCCTAAGCTATCATTGTTGCTTAACCACGCATAAAGGTAGTCATAAGAAATTAGACTTATAAATCTAGTCAGAACCTAAGACTCTTAGTTATGCTATTACAGCTCCTTATTACAACACCGTTGAGGTGATGTATGTCTATTTCAGTATTTCTTAAGAGTGGCACTCCTGGTTCTTCAGGCTGCATTATTTTCCTGTGAGTGGTGGCAGGGAGTGCAAGGCACAGTGCTGAGTAGAATCCCCTCCTCTGCCTACCAAATATAACCGCACACTGTGACAGCCAATGCTGTCTCCAAAGGGCTGGGGAGAGGGTTCAGCGGGTAAAGGCACTTGCCATCTACCTGATGACCCAAGCTTGATCCCCATAAAGGTGGAAGGAGAGTTGCCCCCCGACTTCACGCAGGTGCCACGGCACAGGTGCTTACACACATATACACAAATGGAAAGTTAAAAAAATGTCTCCAGTAATTGTCACACTTGAAGAACAGTAGTCTATTGAACCAGCATGGTGGGAAGAGGGAGGGCTGGGGTTGCACCTCAGTAGCCGAGTGCTTACCTGGCTCCCACAGTTCAATCCAGGCTACTTCCAAAATAATAACAATAACACAGCAATAACAGTAACAATAACGATAAAGAAGAAACTCGTGATAAAACATTGCCTCGTTTCTCCCACATCCTGAGGCTGTGAGATTGACCATAGAAGTATTTACATCATGAAAGCTGTCTAACATTTTAAATCAGTATCTAATGTTTTTTTTCTGGTTGACTTAAGATGTAAGGATAACATGGTGATGTGTTAATAATGCAGATTAAAGGTGTAGTGTGTGTATCATTCCGTCATGAGCAGCACAGTGATGCAGACATGATCCCGAGGAACAAAGGCACATCAAGACAGGAAAACAAAACAATCACAAACTCAATTGTCCTAAATATTGTTAACGCACTAAACGGTGGGTCAGGCAAATGAGCTTGAGTAAAGTCAGTAGCCATTTTTTTGAGAGAGAGAGAGAGAGAGAGAGTCAGAATTTCATCATGTAGCCCAAGATGTTCCAAAACTCACAGCCTCAGTCTCCTGAATGCTGACTTTACGGGCAGTGGGGTAGCAGAGGGAAAGGCAGAGGTGGGTAGAGGAATTGGGCAAGTAGAGAAAGACTCTGGAGCGTTATGCAGAAGCAGGGACACAGTAGCTGGAAGAGGGAGCTGGACTCGACAGGGCTTTTCTTTCTTAAACATGATGCACTAAAATATGTGAAAATATTGCTGGACTGCAGGAGTGGGTAGAGGAAATGAAAAATCCTTTGAGTAACGGGACGAACTAATCACGTGAAAATACTGCTTTTAAGACTCGAGTATTTGTAAACCATCGGCCAAGTCATGACTTCGCTAGATCCCCGGTGCACGGATGATTCCGAGATAAGGCCAGCAAGCCAATTCCAAATCAATATCCTCGTCATGTGATGCAGAGGTAGGCCTGCAAGCCGATCTTAACTCAATGCCCTTGTCATGTGATTCAGAGGTAAGGACAAGCGGATTCCAAGGCAATACCGTTGTCATGTGATTCAGAGGTGGGCATTCAAGCCGATCTCAAATCAATTCCCTTGCATGTGTAGTTTTAACGCAGAACCTGTATTCCCATCCTCTTTACTAAACTGTATTCTCTCCAGGAATGTGCCATGATTTTGTTTTTTCTCTTTACCTATAGACGCTTATTCTGAGAGTCAAGACAGACGTCAACAGAAGCCCTTATTCATGTACCCTTTAGAACGCTCCCTCTATCTCTAAACATTTTAGGGCAAAGGCCTAAAGCCACTCACTACATTGAACAGGGTGGGGGGAGGAATCCAGAGGTGAGAAGTGAATTAGTAATGTCCTCAAGGCTGCAGGCCCGGGATTAGGGAAGGGCTGGAGAAGGGGTTGGTGAGCTAGAGGAAAGCTTTTCCTTCAGACCAGAGCAACTGCGGACAGAGCATCTATACCGGGATGAATGGGAGCGTGCTAAGGGTGTTTAGGGTCCCAGAAAGGCCAAGTTCCAATCAGATGCCAGAGCTAAAAGGAGCCGGGGAGGGGATGCGTCCCTTGACTTGCCAATCTCCGTGGCCTCTCTCTCTCTCTCTCTCTCTCTCTCTCTCTCTCTCTCTCTCTCTCTCTCTCTCTCTCTCTCTCTCTGTTTGTTTCCTTGGTAACGACGCAGTGGGAAATGACTTAACAGCTCCTTCCAAAGCAACCTTCTTAGGCTCCACCCCCAATCTGTTCTGGTTTGTTCTGATGGAAGTTCTCTCTTCCATTCTCGGTGACGTAGAGGCAAAGGACTTAGAAAGGAACTCCGAGGGACCGCCTGTATGTGCCGTGAGGCCATAGTCTAATGTTTCCAAATTTAAGCTCCTTAGCACGATTCAGATTTTCTGTAAAAATAGAGGACTTCCCAGAAGCGGAAATCTTACTGCATATTTAACGCATGCTTTATTTGCTTGAATGCCGAATATCCCACACATGGACGTTACCTCAGTGTCAGAGTGTAAGGACGTAAAGTGAGGCGTCTTTCGGCCTGCCCAGCTCTTCTATGTTCCTTCAATGCTCTCGCATGGAAGATGCTTCTAGGAAAATACTTTTTTATATACTAAACACATTTGTACAGAGGGAAGAAAAAACCCTGTAGAGAATTTAGTGACAAAGCAAGCTTCAGAGTCCTTCAAAAATCATTATAAGTTATTAATAAATAGCTGTTATTGATACACAGTATTAACACATAGCTGTTGCCTTGTATTAACACATGAGCAAAATTTAATACTCGTATCTTTTAATCTAGTACAAACAGTTCAAATTTTTATACTCAGAACACAGATACTCAGAACACAAAAAAACTAGAATCTGAACTTTCTCACAATGCCCAGACACGGTTAGGAAACAGTGGGTACTGTGGACCTGGTGGAGAACTTACATGAGGTCCCTAAGGGCCAGTGTACCTCCTCAGACCTACACGACTAGACCAAAATCACTTAAATGTCCTAGAACAGTAAAGTCAGCAGGGTTTACTCAATCCAAGCAAAAACCCCAACAAAACTATTCAGGAATCTGTAATTGACTTTTGCTGAAGGGTGTTCTGAGAACTTCAGTCAGCCTCTGCCCATCGGCATTCAGAAGAAACAGACATGGGGCCTCAAAAATAAATTACCTACAGCGTAGTTAGCCAGTCGGTTGTTACGGCTCATTTGCCTGCTAATTGGATGCAGGGAGTTTTGCAGCAAGCTCAGGTGCTAAGTACCACCAGTCTCTGGGCTCCTCTGGCTCGCTGGGCTAAGGGCAGGCGTCCAAATCCATGGGCTCCCTTTAGTAACAGAAATTCCACAGTGCCAGTAAAAACAGAATATTTATAACATTTCTCCTCTTGTGAGGCTCCATGGCACTCCAAACTAGTTCAGTGAACTCGTTGATGAATTTCCCCCAAATGCTAAAGTCCTGGCACAGTGGACAAACAATTGTTCATGGAAGGGTTTTTTTTTTTAATTTTTTTCTTTTTTTTAGCTTCCATACCAGGGTCACCTGTCTGTAGGCAGTAATGCCTGTAGTGGCAGGGGGCTCTCATTACTCCTAGAGACATGGACACTGCTTTCATGTTTCTCGAGGGAGCTCATTTTCTCTCCTTTCCTCCCAATTGTTTACAATGAAGGTGAATGTGGGACCCTCACCCCTTATTCTCAAAGGGGCAGGAAGAAATTTCCTAGCAGAATGTTTTCCCAGGAAGATAGTGGCCTTCCCCTCTCCCAGCCAGGAGATTCCGAGCACAAGGTCACTTAGCTCAGCCCAGCCAGCCACCTGGTACAGGCTGATAAAGATGGCCTAACTCAAGAACAGTGGCCTTGCTTCAAGAACAAGGAAAAGGCTGACTTAGCAGAATGGGAGGGAGCAAAAGTCCTTGTACCCGTGCCAAAGCAGCTTCAAAGATTCTCTTTGTGGTTATTATGCCTTTAAAAACGTACCCCATAGAGGAGATACAACTCCTCTCTACCTTGTTGTAACGGGGATAGAGATGAGTTCCAAACATGTTTGTATTATGCTGATTAAACCTTGTTTATTACAGTCTGGGCCTCTCTGGTGGTCTCTCTCTGGGGGTCATAATCTGGCCACAACAGTGAATCTTTGGAAACCATGTGTGTCAGTTACTTTGCTGTTGCTGTGGCGAGATGGCAGACTTGCAACTTGAGGAAAAAGGAGTTATTGATGGAGGAAGGTCATTGGCTAATAAAGGCACTGCCCTGGCCCATTTTATTGGTTAGAGGATAGGTGGCAGGAGGATTAGCGCTGAGTATAATGACATATATGTAGGAGAATAGCACAATGAGACCCGCTACTTTGTATATTAACTTTAAAGATTAGTATTTAAATATAGTGGCATGAAGCCTGTTTTTTTCCTATTTCTGCAGAATAGAATTCAGACAGAATGACCACAACAGCAGTTTTAGTTCAGTTATTCATGAGGACATAAGTTAGACTCATCTAAATGGCTCAGGGGTTAGGAGCACTGGCTGCTCCTGTAGAGGACCCAGGTTCAGTCGCCAGCACCCACGTGGCAGTCATAAGCACTCCAGTCCTGAGGGAATCCAACTCTCTTCTGGGCTCTCTGGGCACCAGGCACTCATGTGGGGTACTAATGTATAGGCAAGCAAAACTTCATACACAGAAGATCAATAAATAAAATCTTTAGAAATTCAGGTTAGACTAACTGTCATAGACACACCAGGGAGAAAGTGGTGATAACCTTTCTTAAAACAAAGCACATGGTTTCCAATTTTTAATTAAGAAAATTTGCTTTATTTAAAAAGAGTATATAATAAAACCACATGACAAAGTTCTAGACATAGGTTTTTAATATGGCATCGTGGAAAACATTAATAACATTTTTCTTTCTTATATCCTCTGTGGACTTATTCTTTTACCATGTTGACATTTTTATTTTACAACTTGATTTATATCCATGGTTAAAAAGCAATTTAAATATTATAAAAAGGTATAAAGCAAAAAAAAAATTCCCTTCTCTCCACAACTTTCCTCAACACTGGCAGTTTGTCCTTCAAACTCAACCATTTTCTTTTCATCTTTGGCAAAATGTTTTCACATACTATGTCCTGTACCTTTGGTCTTTCTGGAATTTGTCATGGGAACTCTCCATGCAGCGCAGTTAAAACTGCTTTGTTTTCACCGATGGTGTACGCAGTCCTCAATGCATTAGGATCTCTCTAGGCAATGCATTCACTATTGATGGGTGACGGCCACGTCTGTTGGAAGCCACAAGCATTGGTGACAGTTTATTCAAACGAGCACAACTATATCTTTTTTAAAAATTCATTTAACTTATTTATTTTATGTGCATTGGCATAAGGTATCAGATCCCTTGGAACTGGAGTTACAGTCAGTCATGAGTCACCCTGTGGGTGCTGGGAATTGAACCTGGGTCTTCTGGAAGAAAGTCAGTGCTCTTAACTGCTGAGCCATCTTTCCAGCCCCATGGAACTATATCTTTACACCCTTACATCCCTCTCTTTTCAAAAGTTAAATTAAAAATATTTTTGTTGAAATTAAAATAAATCATTGTCTCTTTTCCTTCCTCCAACCTCTCCCAGGTAATCATCTTAACTCTCTCTCTCGATTCCTGGCCTCTGAAGCCAGATACATTTTAATAAGAATTTCAGGATTGAAAGTGGCTCTGGGTATATGGGTAACAGATGAGCCGGGAAGGAAAGAATCAGGGCTTAATAAGCCAGTTTCTTTCACTAAGATCTATTCAATCTAGTAAACCAAAAAGCCATTTAAAATTCATTTCAAAGGCTGTGGTCAAGCTGGGGAGATGGGGGATTATCTAAATTCCGTGATAGACTTTAGCGCTACAGTTTAGATGTGAAATGTCCCCTGCAGGTTCACGTCAGAGACTCAATGCTCCAAAGTGAGGACCGCGGGGACCCCGAGGAGTCCATAGAAACTGCCCAGTTTGTCTCAACTCCTTTTAACTGTTAGGATTGTTCATCATACGACATCAACCTAAAAGACTTACTGTGTCTACGACAAACTGCCATTTGCTTCCTGGACCTGGGGTTACAGAGGTAGCAAAGAGGAAGGCAGCCTTTCTTTCCATAACCCATTCCCATAAGGCTCTACTCTCTATAAACAACAGAAGGCAGACTCAGATGCACCAGGTGTGGCCTCAGGCCAGCTTGTCCTTTAGTTCATACTACACAGGTCGGGTTTAAATCGGCGATGGGCTTGCTGATCATTTCTATGGTCTACTTAAAAACATAAATTCCCGTGTTCCTTTCGGCCCTCGGGAAAATAGACATGACCACATGAGCTCCCCAGTTCGGGGAGCTCTGGTTTTGGAGCGCACTCTGTCATGAACTGTGTCTTGGATTGATGGTGCTTTGAGGAGTTAGACAGGAATTTAAGGGTATGAGACTTAGATCTCGACCCTGTCCTAAAAGGCAGAGGCAAGTGCCAAAGTTTTTATCTTAACGGTTCAACCCATTGAAAGAGGAGGCTCTTTCCGTCCATCTGTAGATCCAGGAACCAGTACCTGCCTCTGTCCTGGGCATATTAGTGAATCCCAGGATGCTGAGGCCTCCTGAGGCTGGTGTAGCAGCTATCGAGGACTCTTTTGGAAGGACAAAGGGAATTAAAGATCTCACGTTGACAGCTGTTATTTCTTATATTCCTAGTACATAGATGATAAAGATACCCACAGAATGCCACCGTCTACATTAATAGCTATGCTGTCTTTAACAGGTGTGCAACCCAAACAGACTGATTCACCAGTGTAAGGTACAATTTCCCCTTAATTCTGTCCTAGGCCCTGGCAAAAACTTAGCTGAAAAGATTTAAACGACGCAGCCGGGCGGTGGTGGCGCACGCCTTTAATCCCAGCACTCGGGAGGCAGAGGCAGGCGGATCTCTGTGAGTTCAAGACCAGCCTGGTCTACAAGAGCTAGTTCCAGGACAGGCTCCAAAACCACAGAGAAACCCTGTCTCGAAAAACCAAAAAAAAAAAAAAAAAAGATTTAAATGACGCAGCGTCTCTATGCTACCCTTAACAGCAAGGAGACTTGTTCCTTACTTAGCTTGTTCCTCAGTTAGCTTCATCAGCTCTTCCAACAGGAGGCCGGAATCACAGAGCATCAGAACAACTTGCAAAAGGAGAAACTACACAGGGCGGAGAAAATAAAACCTTCCCCCAACGTTTTTCCCTTCATAACTGAATGTAAAATAAGTGAAGAAAAGATAGAAACAAACCAGTAAATGTGACATCCACAGATTCCCAGGTGATTTATAAGTCCTTTTATCTATTGTGATGCTCAAATGAGCAGTTTCACCCCAAATAAAATGAAGATCCAGAGGCATTTGGTAATACTGGAACTCATGATCTTCCTGCCTCTGCCTCACGGTGTGGGATTACATGCTTAGTGTCTCTCTGCGTTTCTTTTTGCTTTGGCTTTTTGTTTGTTTGTTTGTTTTGTTTTGTTTTTGAGGCAGGGTTTCTCTGTGTAGCTCTGGCTATTCTGGAACTCACTCTGTAGACCAGGTTGGCCTTGAACTCACGGAGATCTGCCTGCCTCTGCTTTCCAAGTGCTGGGACTAAAGGTGTGCACCACCACTTCTGGGTTGTTTTGGCTTTTTGATAAGATTCAACTGGGAAGTCTGGGCTGGCCAGGAAATCACCATATATCGCAGGCAGGCTTTGCAGTAAGAAATCCTCTTGCTTCCACCTCCGGAGTGCTGGGATTAGAAGTGTGAGCCTGACCCACCAGGCCTGGCTCCGCTCTTTCCTCACGGCTTGGCATCTTTCACAAGTCTTAAAGATGCAGCCAGCACACAAAGAGTGTGAAGCCGGGGCCTCCTTAAAGCTCTTCCCTCCCAGGCGTCTTCCTGTGGCACCGGCAAAAGGATGTGGCATCCTCCGGCTGGGGAACAAGCTCCATCCCGTCACGTATCGTGGGCTTGCTGGTCTGGCGCTCCGCATATTTCTGAAATATGGAAGCCATGGAAGGTTTAGTTGATGCTTCATTCTAGTCCCACCTCCCACACATCTCCACCTTCAATCGCAAAGTTTCAGACCCAAACCAAAGGCTGGTGAAACATCTCATAGTCTGTCAGGGAACTCTAATCTACACTTCTGTGTAAATTAGAAAAGAGATGCCAAGCCAAATGCCTCTAACTGAGACAGTGGCGCCAGCATGTATCCTCCCTTCTAATGAATGTTTGTCTTGTTGGATTTTCATGACAGCAACTCAAGATGAGAAGCATCTCCAGGCAGTGTCCATCCATCCCGGAGGGCTGGAGTTACAACCACGCCAAGAGGCCCGTGCAAAGTTCTTTCACCCTGGTCAGAAATATCCCTATGCACTGAGTCTTTCCCTGTGTTCATTCTGGGTCCGCTCTGGTATGTATTCCTAGTATTGGGCTAATGCCAACAAAATAACAATATAACTAAGGGAACTTAATGAACATGTTAGGGGTAGAAAGCTCCTACCATTAAAATTAAAGCTAGGGCTGGTAAGATGGCTTCCTGGGGAAAGATGCCTGCCTCCTGGCCTTAAAACCCTAGTTCAATCCCTGGGACCTACGTGGTGGAAGGAGAGAACCGACTCCTACAGGAGTCCTCTGCCCTCTGACCTCCACAGGTGCTCCACTCCTCCTCCACCTCCCCGAGCTCACAAAATAAGTAAAATGCAATTAAAATTAAGATGTTAAAACTAGATTAGTACACAGGATGGAACCAATCTAAGGATGACAAGACAGACCTGGTGGGGGGGAGTGGCTCAGGGGACGTAACTTGCCTTTATTCCACCCACAGACAAGAAGGACGGTCTCTAAAAATCAACCACCAGGGGGCGCGCCCTAACAAGAGGGGAGGAGCCCCTAATTAATCTATTTCCCTGCACTCCAAGAACAGAGATTGAAAGGGTGGAGGCTACAGAGAGAGTCAGCACTGGTTCTTTCCTCCCTCAGGCTGGAGTCTCAGCTGAATCCAAATTCTTTCCACAAACTGCCGCTGATCCCCTCAGGAAGCATGGTACAAAGTGTCCCGGCCACTCATGTGGCCTAAGGACCCCGACTCACCAGGTTGGACCCTGAACTGACCTGCAGCACTCTGTAATAGTAACAGAAAAGTCGGGGCGGCTGGAGCAAGTCCCTAGCAGTTAACTGCCCTTCTTTCGCAATCTTCTTTGCTTCGTCATCGTTTTCCTAAAAGGAAAGAACAAAAATTGCTGCTGCAGCCCACAGAGAACGCTAAGTGAGAGAGACAGGCGAGGCGAACATCAACAGCACGGAGGAAGTGGACTGCAATGGGCTAAGGCAAAGGAGGCCATGGGATCGTTTATAATATCTGTTAAAGGGGAAGGATCGTAGGTGTGTGGACCCGACTCTACCGGCCTCACTGGCCTCTCCTGAGCCTGTTCTGGTGCTTTCCTGGCACCTAGGGAGAAAGCCTGGGGTCCATCGTCTGCCTCCCCAGCGGGGCCCTCTGCCTAAGGACAGAATGGATCGATTTTCATGGTAAAATGTCTTTTAAAAGCTTCAGCGCTGGGGAGCTGGCTGGGCAGTTAAATGTGCGTACTGCTCTTATAGAGGACCCAAGTTCTGTTCCCAGCACCCACCTTGGTGGTTCTCAATTCCAGCTCCTGGGGATCCGGGGCCTGAGGCCTTTGAGGGCATCTTCACTCAAGTGTACAGACCTCTACACTGAAACGTGTGTAAAATTAAAAATAATAGAAATGTGTTTTTCATAAAGCTTCATTCAAATATGCAGAGATAGTGTTCTGTTACAAAGCGATGGCCACAAAAGACTAAAATGCTGTGTGATAAAAGTTATCCACCCACTAGTACTCACGGGCCAGGAGTAATCAATGCTCCTGATTACAGCCATAGGAAACGCCTGACTTTCTGCATGCTGTTGATAGGAAAAGCTATTTGCTGGCGATCATGGATCTTAGGGAAAGCCAGAATGATGATTCTGATCCATTATTCCCATAACCAAAATATTATTTCTCAAAACTTAAAAAATGTTATTGTAGGAGGATAAATCTTTATAGTTTCATAATAAACCACAGTAGTTCTTAATATTTATTCCTTCAAATTTATTTTAAAATTTATTCCTTAAATTTTATTTTAAAATTTCCTTAAAAAAAAAAGAAATCCTTGTTTTATGGGGACCTTGCTCTTGGTATGCTTTGTAGTTTGTGTTGGGTAAGGGCTTGTGGTTTTTTTTTTTGTATATAAGGAAAAGAAGACTACCAGATTTACCTGGGATGTTCTCTTAAAATATAAAGCCTTTCAATTCTGGCCTTTTCAATCTGCAATTTTCATTTTGCAATTCTTCTTTTGCATATATAAATGCAAACGGTGAATCATTTAGAAAAATCCACATCACAACAACACTGGACTTCAAATCCAACCCTCGACAATGTTGACAGAGGCATACAAAATGATTCTGATGGCCTTTCTGTCTCTTTGACATGTGCACATGTGTGTATCTGCACGTGGGTTTGTGCGCATGAGTGCAGTGACTACGGAAGCCAGGAGAAGCCCTCTGATCCCCTGAGCCGGAGTTACAGGACCTTGTGAGCTGCCCAACGAGGGTGCTGGAAACCAAAGTCCTCTGGGAGGACAGCAAGGGCTCTCAGCCACCTCTCCAGCCCCATGTCTATTCTTTAGCTACTTAAAGGGAACACATTTTTTTTTTTAAAGAAAATTATACTTCCTTTGATTTTTATTTCAGTATGATACATGGTCGTAATGGAACACAGGTCCTCCATATCGATAACTTTGATATTGCCCTAAGAAGGAAAATGGCATGAAGCATACCTTGGCCCACCTCACTTTCTCTAGCAGATCACTGAGGTTTCTTCTCACGGGAACGTAGTGTTTCCAGGGCCTTAGCGCCACATAGAAATGCTCATAATACGGCGACTCCTGCTTCAGAACCAGGCTGTCCCCCAGCATGAGGTAGGGAAACCTGTAAGCAGCCACCGTGCCGTCCACGTTCACCTGGTACTTGTACTAGAAGACGAAAAGAAAGAGCCTCAGCAAGCCATTGCTCCACTTCCGCTTCTCACAGTATTAAATCAAACACGAGGGATCATCTTCCACGTTCCCACACCTGCCCTGCAAACTGCTTTCATTTTCTCCTCGTATAAAAATGACAAACAGCCTCTAACGCGTCCCTAGCAGGACCTTCTCGGACACAGGAACGAGTGTCTGTTTCAGTTATGTCTGTGAAGCGGAGAGTCCTGACTCCTGTAATCAAAGCGGGAGCCAAACTATCGTCAAAGCTCTACGTCTGAACACTCTGAAAAGTGATATTATCAATTTTCATGTATATATAAAATTTCGTTTATTCCTTACACTAAACCCACAAAACATAAACTAGAGTTTGTGTAAAACAGAGTTTACATCTTTCCAGCCTGTGAACTGTAGGAAAAATGGCTCAGTGAGAAGAGAAGTTTGCTGCCAAACCATGACCCAAGTTCAATACCCAGGACCCACCTGGTAGAGGAAGAGAACTAACTCTGGTAAGTTGTCATTCACACACACACACACAGACACACACACACACACACACACACACACACACACACACGCACACACACACGCACACACAGAGAGAGAGAGAGAGAGAGAGAGAGAGAGAGAGAGAGAGAGAGGGAGGGAGGGAGAGAGAAAGAAATTAAGTGCTATAAAAACTAGTTACTCCACTGACTTGTATTGGAGTAGTAAGTTCTAATTTCCATTTCAAAAGCATTTATCAGCCGGGCGGTGGTGGCACACGCCTTTAATCCCAGCACTCGGGAGGCAGAGGCAGGCGGATCTCTGTGAGTTCGAGACCAGCCTGGTCTACAAGAGCTAGTTCCAGGACAGGCTCCAAAACCACAAAGAAACCCTGTCTCGAAAAAACAAAAACAAAAGCATATATCAAAGGCATGAAAAATCCTATTTAATTATACTATGAGGCAAGGTTTTTTTGTTTTGTCTTTACAAGTGAGAAAACTGGAATACAGAGAAAGCTATAAACCTTCATTCTGAACACAAATTCACTGCTCTTTTTACCACGAAACCCCCCAGATGAAGCTGGTCCATTTCCGACTACACTGACTCCTCCCTTCCCCCTCCCATTCCCCTCCCTTTCCTTTTCAGTGCTGGAGATCAGACCTATGCCTCTCTCATGTAACAGAAGTCCTCTGCACAGGGGTACACTCTAAACTCTTAGTAATCTCTTTAAAAAAAAACAAATTTATTAAATAATCAGTACCAGGTGTGGGTTTCATGACAGAGAAAGGGGCACACACATATGTGTGCATGCATACACCACACACACGCACACACACATTCATATACAAACACACATGCATGCCAAAATCAATATAAAAAGAAAGTAAAGGAACATAGCAGGCATCACAGGTCACCAGAGCCACTAAGAGATGAGGGGCCACAGGCAGGACCCGCACTCGAGCTCCCCCTCCCTCCAGCTCCACCTCCTACTTTGCATATATAAAAATGAACACTCTTTTTATTTACCAAAGATACTTGAGATCACTTCACATAAAAGAAACATCTTTGCAGATCATTAAATCAAAGGGAAAAGCCATAATAAATACATAAAACTTCATGTTAGCTCTTACATTAAACATTAAATATAGTTCTAGGTTGTTCGGTTAACAAAATTAACAAACAAAACTGTGAGAGTTCAGTGACTCCTCAGTCAGACTGGAAAGAGCGAAAGTCAAGTTAGCTAGACACCTAAGCGACCTGCTTGAACCACCAGTTTCGTGGACTTTGGACACAGTTTATCACTTCATAGCCATAGGAAGACTCATACCTTAAAGAAATCAAAGAAACCCATCAACTTGGCTTTTCCAAGCTCTTTTTCTTTCTCTTGGAAAAAGAAATATCCTGTAATTCCTGCATCTAGCAGCTGTGGATTTTCTTTGGACAGCTGTACCAACTGCAGCCTCTCCTCCCGGCTATCTCTACCTCGGAAGAAAGCTTTCTCTGTTTTATTGATCCAGGAAGGCCCTAGAAGTTTAAGGCCATAAAAAATTATGATTAAGAATCTGAAATCATAAGACAGCACAATGACCTTTAATCCACCATTTCCATTTAAAATGTTGGTACTCGTCACAAACCCATTTTGTAACACAGACGCTGTTCCCAAAACACCTGGGACTGAGTCTCAGTTTGCCAGAGGTGCTTTCAGGGGCTGTCTGTCTGTCTGTCTGTCTGTTCCAGCCCCTCCCATTTACCTATCAACCACAGTTCTCATGGGCACTGCTATTCACTGTGTTCCACACTGGGAAACAGCCCTCACGGTATCAGAGCAAACGGTTCTGTGACTTGTCCTACTGCCAAGGCCACAGCTCCTTTCACTTTCATGGTTCACAGTCACACAGGGGTTAGGCTTTTGTGCTTGAGGTCAGCAGAAAACTGCATAACTAAGCCACCCAACAGAGTTCTTAGTTCATATTTCTCCCTTTAGTTTTGTTTTATGTGTATATGTATTCCATGTATGCCTGTGCACTGTGTGCATGAAGTACCCACAGAAGCCAGGGGAGGGCGCCAGATCTCCTGGGACTGAAGTGACAGATTGTGCACCAAGTGGGTGCCGGGAATTGAACCTGCGTCCTCTGGAAGAGCAGTGAGTGCTCTTAACCACTTGACCATCTCTCCAGTTCAGCTACTCATAAGTTTGAATAGAGAAAATATATTTTTCTTGGATGCCGCTGAGTGTAATTGTACAATTCACCGCATTCACACAGGTATATGGGGAGTCTGAGACAAGCTCTTGTTCTTCATCCCTGGCTGATCTGCTACCTGCTACGTAGCCCAGATGGATCTCTAACTAAAGACACTCTTCCTGCCTCAGCCTCCAAGCGCTAGGATTGCAGGCATGAGCCACTATGCCCACCTCTCTCTATATTTGTATCTTATCTTTTTAGGAAGGGAGATGTTTTAGAAAAATTAATTTCAATCTCTGAAAAAACCCTCTTACTATTCTAAAGTAAGATGTTGGCTAAATGCCCATCAGTGCCCCGGGGACATCATAAGAGAGAAGAATGGAAGGGGCTTAAGCTTCTCAGAGTACCCAGAAAGTCACCACTATCAAATTGAAAGTAGGCCAACGTTTACTTCATACGGTTTTCATCTTATTCTTATTTGTCTTTTCTCTTCATGATATCTTTAGGTACTTTGCACAAATCTCTGATCTTGCCTCCAAATAACAATAAAAAGAAACAGAGGCTGGAAAGGACAAAGCCAAGTTTTTCGCAGCCCAGTGAGTTTCCAAAAAGAGGCTTCCATTGTGTCGCAAATGGAAGAAATCATAAAGAGAGGAAGGATTCCAATTCTGAAGACTCAGGAAGTACGGAAAGATGAAGTGAATTCCTTACAGAGTACCCGAGGATGGGTTCATGATGCCCAATGACACCATGTCCACGGCCGTCTTAGGGTTTTCAGGCTGCTCTCATTTCATCCAGTAATAAAAATCACTGGAGTCAGAATTAGTGACAGGTTTACCAAATAAACATATCTTTAATGTTTTGATTTAAAATTTCATGTAGGTATAACCAATGCGACTTGAAAAGATGTCTACGCATGACTGAACTCAAGGGAGCCTCCGTGAATACAGGCCTGGGTGTTAGTTCCCTAAAGGATGTGTTTTTAATTTTCAAATTGGAATCCCAAACGTTTTCTTTTAGCCATAGGGAGCTTTTCCCTACTTTGCTGTGCTGGGAATGGAGCTTGGGCCCTTGCACACGCTAGACATGTATTCTTCTTGGGTAGAAAGCAAGAGTGATTAAGCATACACATCTATTCTTTCTGATTCCCTCCACCTTTTTTATCTTTAAGGTTTTTCCCCATGAGAAATAACCTTAGCTTACCTGTGTTTCCCTGAACAGAGAGGAGATCATTTGTGACACCCCTCATTGCTTCAAGTACGGAATGGGTGACATCGTATGTTGGAAGGATAATGTCTCTTGAATCCAAGGAACCGCACCAGGAAATGATAGGTATAGGGCCAGGAGTGTCATTGACTTTGCGATGCTCCAAGGGCCAATCTCCAAGGTTAATATAAAATTCTGAATCTGGGAGGGTGACCTACAAAAACAAAGGCTCAAGCATCAGTGTTGGGAGGCACCAAATACCCCAGTCTCTTGGCTATGCATGTATATGTGTAGGGGACAGGAATCAATCTTTGGCATTTTTCCTCAAGAGCCATCTACCTTGGTTTTTGTTTGTTTGTTTGTTTTATTATCCTCCACCGTTTCCATGTCCATGATTGGTCCTCCACGGAGGTCTTCTTGCTTGGAATGCTGCCTCAGTTTCCTTCTTGGGCATTCTGACTTCACCTTCCTCAACTCAAACCTACATAGCTATCCAAATCTCTACACCCCCATGAATGTCACCTAGGCTTACCGGAACCTTTAGGCTATGGGATAGGACCTGTTTTCTGTCCTGGCATTCAGAGTCTTGCTCTTTCTCTAGCTTAGGCTGAACTCTTTTGTGAGCCTGAATGCCAGATTACAGGCAAGAGCCACCAAGCCCACTTTAGTTTATACCTTACAGGAAAGAGTCATCTACAAAGACACACGCATATTCCGTGACACAGTTCTGGGTCCTAAAAGCCACCCGATCTAAATATGTAGCTGCTGCAACAAAAAGAAATTAAATGATACTATTTTTGAGATCTGGTCCATTCGTTTTCATACCTTTCTTGCCAGAGACAGCAAAATTTCATCAGAGAACATTTTGAAGTCTGTGTATTTCCCCAAGGATCTCCGGTGGATGTGGTTATTGACAATTGTGTAATGAACAACAGCACCCCGCTCGTCCCCAAATCTTTTGGGGATTTCCTTCAGCATCTGCTGGAGATTGATACTGGGGAAGGCAGTAAAGTCTTGCTCAATCTGTGGTTCCGTGTCTGGACAAGACAGGGTTTCCTGCCAGGCCTGAGGATCCTCTTCTGGGCAATCACAGTACTCATGATACACGGGTCCTGAGGAGGTGACACACACACACACAATGTCACCCCCAAGTTAACAACGAGAAGTGAACACTGGATAAGAGCTTGGCAAATCTGAAAACTACCAACAGAGGCAAAACTATCTTAGACAAGGGAGTGGCGCAGTATTTATGTCGGAGTCCCATGTCTGCCCCGTCTCGAGGCACTTTAGACAGACTGGACAGTACATGCTTCCTCCCACCCAGTCACTTGGGTGACACGTTCGCGTCTAGTGAGCTGTCAGTAATTAGTATACAACCACTTCATTTTAGCACACAGAAGGAGGGCTTCCTGGTTTTTGGACAGTTGAATGTAGAAGCAGTGAGTTTTTGAGAAATTGGAGGGCCTCAAAGCCTCTAGTGCGGTCTCGGTCGGCACGTCTCAGAGAAAGACAGAGTAACTGAAAGGACCTCTCAGTATGATGCTAGGGGGGCAGCTGAATGCAGAGGGCTTTCCTGAAGACGCATCTAGAAAACAATGTGTACAAATCTAACATATAATTTCAGGACATACTCATATTTATTTTAATGAAAAAAAATTAAATTTTCTTGAGGATTTATTTATGATCTTTGGAAATAGTCCCATGTAGCCCAGTTAACCTTAACTCCTGATCCTCCTGATTCTATCTTCCTAGTGCTGGAATTACATCATTAAGCCTGATATTTGGTTTTGTTTTGAAAATTTCTACTTCAGAAAGACTAATAGGAGGCACTGACTTATTCTTCACTTGGAACTGGTGAACCAAACCTGTCATAACTTAGGCACTCACAGTTTCCAGACTCTTGACAGGAGGCAGTGAAGGACAGTGAGTCTGGGGGATGGACACCAGCAAAGCAAGCCTCCGGGTGGCAGGAGCTCGCTTAAGGCAGAGGAAAAGGGAAGGGGGCGTGGCTAGAGCTGGGCAGTCTCACTGAGCTTAGGAAAGCAAGAGTATGGGAGAACAGGGCAACAGGGCCTGGGAAGACAGAGTAGGTGAAGGGTAAGAATGGAACATGGAAAAGCCTGGAAACATGCAGGCCTTTGTGAGTGAGAAGACATCCCAGCCTACGATCAGGGCATCTGTGATGAAGTCACCCAGTACAGGAAAGAACCACTCAGAACACTGGAGGGCAGTGTATACCACTCCACAGGGTTGAGGAAAGTGCCTGTACCAGCCAAGGTACAAAGCCTCTTCGTTCTTGGGACTTGGGAAAAGCATATCTCAGTCCTTGAGAATATTTAGCCCAAGATTAAATGTGGCTCAATCTCATCTACTAACAAACTGTGAAAACTTAACTCAAAATAATTAAATTATGGGCAGACGACGCAGGCCGCAGGCAGCCGGACCGGCGGGGACCAGCGCAGCGGCAACCAGCATGGCGCAGACGCAGGTGGCAGGGACCAGCGCGCAACACCGAGAGCAGATCGCCCCACTACAATTAAATCAAAGAGGTAGGCCTTTGGTTGGCGAGGTCCCTGGCAAACGGGGAGCCTGGTCCTGTTCCTGAAGACCCTTCTGAGGGGTGAGAGGGATCTTGGTCCCCGGCAGGAGCCAGGAAACAGAGCGAGGGCATTCTGTAAAAGAAGCCCCTGGCCAGCAGAGAAATCTGATCCGGTTTTAAAAGACCGATTAGATAGCATCAATAGGCGGGCGCCAAGGCAAAAATTCACCCAATAATTTGAAAAACAACATGAAAACACCAGAACCCAATGATCTTACAACAGAAGGACTTGAACACCCTAACACAGAAGAAGTGGAAAAAATTGACTTTATGAAAGCAATAGAGTCCCTTAAACAACATGTAAAAAAACGCCCTTATAGAAATGGATAACAAAAAGTTTGAAGAAATGAGTAAATACGTACATAATACCCTGGGAAACCAAGAAAAAAAGATCAAACAGGTAATGGAAACAGTTCAAGAATTGAAAACTGAAATGGAAGCAAGGAAGAAAACACAAACTGAGGACCAGCTGGATATGGAAAATCTAGGTCAACGAGCAGAGCCTACAGAAACAAGCATAATCAATAGAATACAAGAGATAGAAGAAAGAATCTCAGATTCTGAGGACACCATAGAGAAAATAAACGCACTGATCAAAGAAAACAGCAAAGCCAACAAATTCTCATCACAAAACATTCAGGAAATATGGGACACAATAAAAAGACCAAACCTAAGAATAATAGGAATAGAAGAAGGAGAAGAGTCACAGTTCAAAGGCCCAGAAAATATTTTTAACAAAATTATGGAAGAAAACATTCCCAACATAAAGAAAGATATTCCTTTGAATATTCAAGAAGAATACAGTACACCAAACAGACTGGATCAAAGAAAAACATCCCCACACCATATAATAATCAAAACACACAATATACAGGTTAAAGAAATAATATTAAGAGCTGCAAAGGAAAAAGGCCAAGTAACTTATAAAGGTAAACAGATCAGACTTACACCTGACTTCTCTATGGAAACCATGAAAGCCAGAAGGTCTTCGATAGAGGTACTGCAGAAACTAAGAGACCATGGATGCAAACCCAAACTACTATACCCAGCCAAGCTATTGTTCATTATCAATGGAGAAAACAAGACATTCCAGGATAAGAACAAATTTAAACAATACATAGCCACAAATCCAGCCCTACAGAAAGTAATAGAAGGAAAATCGCAACCCAAGGAATCCAACATTGCCAACACTGCCTACAATAACTCAGGTATCTAGCGACCCTTCACCAGCACAACTCAAAGAAGGGAGACACACAAACTCTACTACCAAAAACAATAAGAATAACTGGAGTAAACAACCACTGGTCATTAATATCACTTAATATTAATGGTCTCAATTTACCTATAAAAAGGCACAGGCTAAGAGATTGGATACGAAAACAGGATCCAACATTCTGCTGTTTGCAAGAAACACATCTCAACCACAAAGACAGGCATCTATTCAGAGTAAAGGGTTGGGAAAGGACTTTCAAGTAAATGGTCTTAAGAAAAAAGCAGGTGTGGCCATACTAATTTCTAACAAAACTGACTTCAAACTAAAATCAATCAGAAGAGACTGAGATGGACACATTATACTCATAACAGGAACAATTCATCAGGATGACGTCTCAATCCGGAATATCTATGTCCCTAATATAAAAGCACCCACTTATGTAAAAGAAATATTACTAGAACTCAAGGCAGACATCAAACCACACACACTAGTAGTAGGAGACTTCAACACACCTCTCTCTCCAATGGACAGGTCAATCAGACAGAAACCTAATAGAGAATTAAGAGAATTATTGGAGGTAATGAAGCAAATGGACTTAACAGACATCTATAGAACAATCCACCCAAATAGGAAAGAATATACCTTCTTCTCTGCAGCTCATGGAACCTTCTGAAAAATTGACCACATACTTGGAAACAAAGGAAACCTCCACAGATACAAAAAAAATATCAGTGTCCACCCGTGTCTTATCAGATCACCACTGATTAAAGTTAGAAGGCAACAACAATGCTACCCTCAGAAAGCCGACAAACTCATGGAAACTGAACAGTCAAATACTGAACCACACTTGGGTCAAGGAAGAAATTAAGAAAGAAATTAAAGTCTTCCTTGAATTTAATGAAAATAAAGAGACAACATACTCAAACCTATAGGACACAATGAGAGCTAAGAGGAAAGTTCATAGCACTAAGTGCCCACTTAAAGAAAACGGAGAAAGCATACATTGGGGACTTAACAGCACACCTGAAAGCTTTAGAAAAAAAAAAAGAAGCAGATGTGCCCAGGAGAAGTAGAAGACTGGAAATAATCAAACTGAGGGCGGAAATCAACAAAATAGAAACACAGAAAACAGTCCAAAGAATCAATGAAACAAAAAGTTGGTTCTTGGAGAAAATCAACAAGATCGACAAACCCCTATCCAAACTAATTAAATGACAGAGAGAGAACACGCAAATAAATAAGATCAGAAATGAAAAGGGGGACATAACCACAGACACAGAGGAAATTCAGAGAATCATTAGATCTTACTACAAAAGTCTGTATGCCACAAAACTGGAAATGCAAAAGAAATGGACTTTTTTTTAGATAAGTACCATATACCAAAGCTAAACCAAGACCAGGTGAACTATCTAAATAGACCTGTTAGTCGCGAAGAACTAGAAACTGTTATCAAAAATCTCCCTTCCAAAAAAAGCCCAGGACCAGATGGTTTCAGTCAAGAATTCTACCAGAACTTCCAAAAAGAGCTAATACCTATACTCCTTAATGTATTTCACAATATAGAAACAGAAGAGTCATTGCCAAATTCCTTTTATGAAGCTACAGTTACCCTGATACCAAAACCACACAAAGACCCAACCAACAAAGAGAATTACAGGCCTATTTCACTCAAGAATATCGACGCAAAAATTCTCAATAAAATATTGGCAAACCGAATCCAAGAACACATTAGAAAAATTATCCATTATGATCAAGTAGGCTTCATCCCAGAGATGCAGGTCTGGTTCAACATACGCAAATCTATCAATGTAATCCACCATATAAATAAACTGAAAGAAAAAAACCATATGATCATTTGATTAGATGCTGAAAAAGCATTCGACAAAATTCAATACACCTTTATGATAAAGGTCTTGGAAAGATTAGGGATACAAGGGTCATACCTAAATATAATAAAAGCTATTTACAGCAAGCCGACAGCTAACATTAAATTAAACAGAGAAAAACTCAAAGCCATCCCACTAAAATCAGGAACACGAAAAGGATGTCCACTCTCTCCATACCTCTTCAATGTAGTGCTTGAAGTTCTAGCAATAGCAATAAGACAACATAAGGGGATCAAGGGGATTCGTATTGGAAAGGAAGAAGTTAAGCTTTCATTATTTGCAGATGATATGATAGTATACATATGAGACCCCAAAAACTCTACCAAAGAACTCCTACAGCTGATAAACACCTTTAGTAATGTGGCAGGATACAAGATCAACTCCAAAAAATCAGTTGCCTTCCTATATACTAAGGATAAGGAAACAGAGAGGGAAATCAGAGAAGCATCACCTTTCACGATAGCCACAAATAGCATAAAATATCTTGGGGTAACTCTGACCAAGGAAGTGAAAGATCTATTTGACAAGAACTTTAAATCTCTGAAGAAAGAAATTGAAGAGGACACCAGAAAATGGAAGGATCTCCCTTGCTCTTGGATTGGGAGGATCAACATAGTAAAAATGGCAATTCTGCCAAAAGCAATCTATAGATTCAATGCAATCCCCATCAAAATCCCATCAAAATTCTTCACAGATCTGGAGAAGACAATAATCAACTTTATATGGAAAAACAAAAAACCCAGGATAGCCAAAACAATCTTATACAATAAAGGATTGTCTGGAGGCATTACCATCCCTGACTTCAAACTCTATTACAGAGCTACAGTACTGAAAACAGCTTGGTATTGGCATAAAAACAGAGAAGTCGACCAATGGAATCGAATAGAAGACCCTGACTTTAACCCATAAACCTATGAACACCTGATTTTCGATAAAGGAGCTAAAAGTATACAATGGAAAAAAGAGAGCATCTTCTACAAATTGTGCTGGCAAATCTGGATGTCAATCTGTAGAAGAATGAAAATAGATCCATATTTGTCACCATGCACAAAACTCAAGTCCAAATGGATTAAAGACCTCAATATCAGTCCGAACACACTGAACCTGATAGAAGAGAAAGTGGGAAGTACTCTACAACACATGGGCACAGGAGACCACTTCCTACGTATATCCCCAGCAGCACAGACATTAAGGGCCTCATAGAATAAATGGGACCTCCTGAGACTGAGAAGCTTCTGTAAAACAAAGGACACTGTCACTAAGACAAAAAGGCAACCCACTGACTGGGAGAAGATCTTCACCAACCCCGCAACTGACAAAGGTCTGATCTCCAAAATATATAAAGAACTCAAGAAACTAGACCGTAAAAGGCTAATCAACCCAATTATAAAATGGGGCACTGAGCTGAACAGAGAACTCTCAACAGAAGAAGTTCAAATGGCCAAAAGACACTTAAGGTCATGCTCAACTTCCTTAGTGATCAGGGAAATGCAAATCAAGACAACTTTAAGATACCATCTTACACCTTTCAGAATGGCTAAAATCAAAAACACCAATGATAGCCTTTGCTGGAGAGGTTGTGGAGAAAGGGGTACCCTCATCCATTGCTGGTGGGAATGTAAACTTGTGCAACCACTTTGGAAAGCAGTGTGGCGGTTTCTCAGGAAATTCGGGATCAACCTACCCCTGGACCCAGCAATACCACTCTTGGGAATATACCCAAGAGAGGCCTTATCATACAACAAAAGTATATGCTCTACTATGTTCATAGCAGCATTGTTTGTAATAGCCAGAACCTGGAAACAACCTAGATGCCCTTCAATGGAAGAATGGATGAAGAAAGTATGGAATATATACATATTAGAGTACTACTCAGCAGTAAAAAACAAGGACTTCTTGAATTTTGCATGCAAATGTATAGAAATAGAAAACACTATCCTGAGTGAGGTAAGCCAGACCCAAAAAGAGGAACATGGGATGTACTCACTCATATTTGGTTTCTAGCCATAAATAAAGGACATTGAGCCTATAATTCATGATTCTAGAGAAGCTAAATAAGAAGGTGAACCCAAAGAAAAACATATAGGCATCCTCCTGAATATTAACCTCTAGCAGGCGAGGAAAGGAGACAGAGACAGAGACCCACATTGGAGCACCAGACAGAAATCTCAAGGTCCAAATCAGGAGCAGAAGGAGAGAGAGCACGAGCAAGGAACTCAGGACCGTGAGGGGTGCACCCACACACTGAAACAATGGGGATGTTCTATCGGGAACTCACCAAGGCCAGCTGGCCTGGGTCTGAAAAAGCCTGGGATAAAACCGGACTCGCTGAACATAGCGGACAATGAGGACTACTGAGAACTCAAGAACAATGGCAATGGATTTTTGATCCTACTGCACGTACTGGCTTTGTGGGAGCCTAGGCAGTTTGGATGCTCACCTTACTAGACCTGGATGGAGGTGGGTGGTCCTTGGACTTCCCACAGGGCAGGGAACCCTGATTGCTCTTTGGGCTGATGAGGGAGGGGGACTTGATTGGGGGAGGGGGAGGGAAATGGGAGGCAGTGGCGGGGAAGAGACAGAAATCTTTAATAAATAAATAAATTAAAAAAAATTAAATTTTGTTCAGTCAACTCGGCCATATCCCAGGGATAAAGCTTAAGAAAATTAAAAAGAGTGTATGTGTATATATATATATATATATATATATACACACACACACACACACACTGTAGGGTATTAATAGCAACTTGGCAGTGCAGGACAAAAGGATGAACAAATCAGCAATAGTAACTACACAAAACGAGACAGAAAGACATTTTTTTAAAAGATAACTTTAGGTGTGTGCTTGTCTACATGTTTGTGTGTACACTACATGCACGTCTGGTACCCACAGAGGTCAGAAGAGGATGCCGGATCCCTGGAACTGGAGTCACAGATGACTGTGAGCTTCCCTGTGGGTTCTGGGAACTGAACCCAGATCCTCTGCAAGAGCAACCAGTGTTCTCCAAACCCAGACAATGATAATTTTTTTAAATGCCAAAGTGATATAAAATTAGAGCTTCAAGGAGTGCCTATCTAATGTTTACTCTGTCGAACTTGACCGCAGGGTCATTACAGCCATTCTGAAAAGCATGCCTCCCACAGAAGTCGAGGTTCAGGTGACTAATATCACTTACCTTTCAAAATATAGGGAGACTCAGCTACGTGTTCACCACCATAAAGAACCTCCACCTTGAGGCCTTCGTGGACAGTCTCGTGCATCCTGTATCTCACCAAAAATGTTCCATCATTTCTGTCCAAAGGTTTAGGGACATAAATTCGGGCTGACTCCTTCGGTGAAAGGGATTTTACGACTACTTTGAATTGTGTTTGACCTGGGAGCAGAAGAAATACAAATAGCATGACCATTTCCTGATTTTCATGTCTCGTGATTAGACGGGGATTTTTGTACAGGAATTCTTTTGCCCTGCAGTGCTCATGGTAAACCACGTTCAGCTCAGCCTGGGAGATCCTTGAGGCAGCAACCCATCCTCAAGCCAAGGATCTGACTTAGCAAGGGAGTTGTTAGCTATTCAATAACAACAGTGAAGGGAGGGAGGGAGGGAGAAGAAATAAAAGATAGAAAAGCTGACTGAAGGGAACGTCGTGACACAAAGGGAGGCAGCAAGTACCAAACCCTTACATCAGAAATTCTGAACACTTAAATTTCAAAGAAGCCAAAAGCATTTTTTTTAAAAAAAATATATATTTACTTATCCCCTACGATGGGCTATTCCTTGTGTTCATGTCTGTTTATTTATTTTTTGGATCAACTTCTTATTACATAGTCAAGGCTAGCCTAGAACCCACAATTTTCCTGCTTCTGCCTCTCAAGTGCTTGGGTTATAGGCCCTCACCATCACATCAGCTCTCGAGCATTCTACCTGCTTCCTGAAGACTGGTATGTCAGATAGGTAGTTAACACCCACGCTGTGCAGTGAGAGACCCAGCTCCAAGAAGTAATCGAGGGCCAATATCAACGAACTGCACAGCCAGGAGACAGTCACAGCTTTCCAGCTTTTTAAGTGGAAGAGAGTCTCTGGCAACGGGGATCTCGCCACCCACCAAGACCAGTTAGGAAGTTTACCAAAGCTCTCTGCAGTTACAGGGAAAGCACTGATCTTACATTCGCAACTAGAGTGTCCCAGAAGACCAAAGTGTTACGCCCTAGGACTACATAATCCTCCAAATATGTCTGACTTCTTACCATGGACACACTCCAGGATCCATCCACTCATGCACTGCAAACATATCGAGAGGCTTCCCCCCCCTCACTATGAAAACATGATGATCTACTGGGGCTGAGAGTTGGCTCAGGGATTAAGAGCACCTTCTACTCTTCCAGAGGACACATGTTCAGTTCTCAGCAATTAGGTAGTTCACAAGCTGACCTCCAGCTACGACGGCTTCAGCGCCCCCTTATGGTCTATATGCACACATGCATACAAGTGGCACACACACACACACACACACACACACACACCACATCCATATAAATATAAATAAGATAGAATCTTTGCAGAAAAGTTTATTTGGGAAAAAGAATGCAAAAAGGAATTAGAGGAAAAATCCTTACTCCCTTGCTGTAACCACAGACGTGCATGCGTGGGTTCATTTATTGGAAACAAACTTGGAGTGATACTATGTCATGTTTTGAATCTGAAACATGCCCTACGGGCTTCTGTTCTGAACAATTGGTCCTCACACTCTCAGCTTTTGCACATCTGCAAGCATGCCCAGAAAAAACAGCCTCCAAACCCGTACTCTCGAAGGTTTCCCAGACTTCCCTGAACCCACCGGCAGTTCTTCAATGTTTACACCACGCTGTACATATCCCACTGTAGTAACCGTGACATGCCCTGATAGCTCAGTTGCTTATCCATTTTCTCAGCAGAGTCTTAAGTTTTCTGATAGGCAGGCATTAACATCCTCTCTTAACTCCAGGATTACCAAATATATAGCGATCTTCAAGTACCTTTGCACTGTGGAGGAGGTAGGCCTAGACTCTTTGCTGGCAAAATAGGGCGCCTGTTAGGAGCAGCCTTAAGTTTAGACACAAATGAGCAAATCCTGACAGGTAACAACTTGAAACCAGCTGGACAAGTCCAGAGAAACTGTCAGATGTGGGAGGAGAACCCTGCAGAGCATCAGGACAAGATCCCGCCCCCATCCCCCGTCCCGATTCTACTTAGTTTCACCGATTTCTGTGGTCTACATTTAATAAGTCAAAGGTAAGAAGAAAAGGAAAACCCTGCGTGCAAGAAGGCCCTGCACTGCAGGCCTAGTGGGTGCAGTCAGGGAGGAAGGACCATCTGCATCACGTGATCGCGCCACCGCACCCTATAGGACAACAGCGGTGCCATTTACGCCAACAACAGTCCACGCGCGGGACGTACGGCCCAGCCCTTGGAGTTAGTCACCCAACGGACCAAGGTGGTGTCTCCCGCCCCCGTGGGTGTCAGGGAAGGAGGAAGGGGGCGACACTCACAGCGGGAAATGGCTGTGTATGGGGCCAGGGACGCGCGGGGATGGCGACCGGCACTGACCTGGCGGCGAGCTAGTGAGGTTCCGGCCGTCCGAGTCCACCGCCTGCAGGAAGAAGTAGCGCACGGGCAGGACGACGGCGGCCTGCAGCCCCGGGCCCCACACCAGGCTCCGCGGTGCGCTCACTCGCGCCCCGGCCCCCGCGGCCACCAGCAGGGCGAGCTGCAGCCGCAGCAGCGGGGCCCGCGGGATGCCCAGCATGGTCGCCGGCTCACAGCTCGGCCGGCCGGGGAGGGGCCGGAGCGCCGGGCTCCAGGGGACACCCGGGGGCGGGCCTCTGCCAAGAGCCGCCCCGCGCGGGCCCTGTGCGCGCCCCGGCGCCAACAGGGTGTGGACGTACACCGTCCCCAGGCCTCCCTCCACTAGAGGCTCGAGTTTGTCAGAAGTTTGGAGAAAGGCAGCTGTTGTTGTAACCGCTTCCACTCATTTTATATTTTGTTTTTGTTTTTCCTTTTGAGAAGGACGTCTCCCTCTTAGCCCAGGCTAGTTTTGAACCAATGGCAATCTTTCCTCCCAGCCTTGTCTAGTACGGGGTGTGTGTGTGGGGGGGGGGGGGGGGAATTAAAGGTGTGTAAGCTACCTTGCCCTGTGGAGAAACCCTGCTTTTAATTCACAGCTCTTGCTGGTCTGGAACTCTATGTAGACCACCTGGCCTTTTACTCACTGTCATCCCCCTGCCTCTGTCTCCCAAGTGTGGGGATTAAAGGTGAGCACTACTACATTCAGTCAGAAAAAAACAGCTTTAAACGTTGCAGGGTCGGGTTTGGGTTGTGGCTTTAGTGGCACAGTAAGTGTCCGCCGTGTACGAGACCCAGAGTTGGAACTGTGAAGTTCGCTGGCATGGTTCACACAGAGGCTCACCTGTTTCATTTCTTTTGTGCTTGGCAGTCTCCCTCACTGGAGTCCCTGGAGTGTGGTTCCTCTTTCAAACAGTGTTTTCTGAGTATCCACTGATTTGGAAGGAGCAAGGAGCAGGGCACTTGGGCACCAGCAGGCAGTGGCTGGGCCTTCCCGTGCCCTGTGTGGGCAAGCTTCTCCAGAGTCAGGCCCCTTCTCTCCCTGCCACTTTGGGGAGGTAGGATGGGCAGCCAGGTTGGCCCCACTCCTCAGGCTCAGGGGCTAGAAAGAACATTCTCTCCCCTCCACTCCCAGATCGCTCATGTTGGCTATTTTTCCTTCTTTTTTACAACCCCTGGCTCACTTCTCTGCGTAAAGAATATTTAAAGTCCAATTTTGGCAGAGTGTGAACAAAATGTGTTTAACACAGGCTTTTGGGTTTTTTGTGTGTGTATGTGTATGTGTGTGCGTGCATGCGCGCGCCCTAACTGGAGCAGAATAGGACGTATAACATTAAAACTCTTAGGAAATATTGTCCCCAGGCTGAGAAAGCTGGAAGAATTCATCCAATAGAATGGACACAGGACTTTTGACCCCCACCAGGTAGATCTCAGCTCAGAACATGTCAGAGCCAGGTCCGGAACTGCCCTCTGCCTTCCCCAGGCTTTAATTGGGCTCCTGAGCATATCGAGCTTGGGCCCAGGTCTCTGACTCCCATTACCAACGGCAGGTTAGGGCAGAGAGGCCAGTGTGGAGAAAGCACCCAGATGCCCGTGTGCACTCCACAGAGTGCCCAGATCTCGGGCTAGCCTGGTGTCCATCCCTGGAGATGGTAGACAGCCCTCTGTGGTCAGTGTAGCTTGGCTTAGTGTGAATCCCACTGTTTCCTTCCTGAAGTTGTTTGAACGCTTTGATGGAATGCCCAGTCTGCTCCAGTTAGCATTTAAAGAAATACCCCCATACACACCCAAGCAAGCAAACAAACCCAAAAGCCTGAACACATTTTGTTCACATTCTGCCAAAATCGGACTTAATTTCGCAGAGAAGTGAGCTGGGGGTATTTGGGTGATAGTGACATTTATATATATATATATATATATATTCTCAGGCCATATGATATATATATCACTTGAGGTGACAGTTGTTTGAGGGGAACCATCAAGGAATTGATTCCCATCACTGCAACTAGTCAGCCAATCAACACTGATTAAAAATGTCATTAAATCAAGTAAAATTGCCATTTTTCTTTAAAAAAAAGCAACATTAAATATTCTTCTGGACAGCTAATATTTTGAAAATATCTAGTAATTTATTATAGTTACATAAATATAATTATATGTACTTCCCACAAATATGCATACCCATGGATATATAGTTCTACGTAAAAGTATAATCACCATTATACATGTGTATTTATTCATCTCTACATATGTATACATGTGTGTACATGTGTTGATGAAGAAAAGGCATTGGGTTTTCCTAGAAAAGATTGTTATAATTAATACCGAAGATAGACTAGAGGGATTAGTGAGAAATCTTTCAACTCATTTACTTGACAGTAATTAAAAATGAATGTCAGGACCAGAGAAATGGCTGAGTGGTTAAGAGCACTTATTCTTGCAGAGGACACCGATTGATTCCCAGCATCCACATGACAGCTCACAGCCACCTGACACCAGTTCCAGGGATCTGATGTCCTCTTCTGGCCTTGGTGGGCACTGTGCATACATATGGTGCACATACGTGCATTCAGGCAACCCACTCACACGGAAAATAAATAAATCTAATAATAAATGAAATTTATATCTCGAAGCTGGTTGACTACTTTGGGTGTATATGAAGAGAGAGAAGCAACCACCCTTTTTGTTTTTAAATTATTATTTGTATTTAAATTATTGCAAATCTCTCCCAATAATCAGAAAGATTGGGCACATCTCCCCTGGTATCTTAGATTTTTTCGTGAAAATTTCACACTAAAAAAAAATCATCTTTCGAGGGACTAGAGCGATAGCTCAGCAGTTAAGAGCACTGCTGTTCCTCCAAAGGACCCAGGTTTGATTCCCAGCGTCCACAACACATTACTCCAGTTCTAGGGGATCTGATGCCCTCTTCTGGCCTCTGCGGACACCAGGCATGTATGTGGTATACAAACAGGCAGGTGAAAAACCCATACACATAAAAAAATTAAAAAGTAATCTGAGGATAGGAAATAAAACCAAGACTAACAGTAAATTTGGGGTTGAGTCTGTGGCTCAGTGGCGGAGCGCTTACCTAGCACGTAGGTTCCATCTTCAGAAGTGCAAATACAACAGATAAACAAGCATAGTGTGTCTGTTCAGGCTGTTTATTTCAACACAAGCATTGTTTTAAAATTTCACCTCCTGACATGTTCCATACTTTGGAAACAGAGTTGAGGAAATAAAAACATGATTATTGGACAGTTTTGACAAAAGTGCTTATTGTGGGTTATTGTTTCAGAACAGAATATCAGTCACAAGTAGTAATGCGAACTCGCAAAGTAAAATATTTACATATTTATACTGTACAGTTAGATAGGATATTCTCCAGCTCCACTACAGACAGCAAACTCTAAACAGTAAGGCCTGTTTGGACACACCGGCGTTCAGTAAAGGAACTTGTTTCACGGAGGTGTGATTTTCCATTTGACTGTCATCTTTTCCACAACCTAAGAAGGCTTCTCTCAGCGCCGTCGTGCCTCATCTTTATCTCCCATACAAAATAGTCTCTCTTTTCAAACTTCTTAACCAAACTCATGTGAGTAGCAATTAGCATTTTATTAAGACCAATGTGTTTACGATGTTAGAATAAGCCATTCAGAAGGGTGGTATCTAAAAAGCAATCTTATTAAACCCCATTTTAAGTGAATTTAACACAATATCTATAGCTGTGTTAGCCTAACATTGAAGCAAGCTGATAATTTCCTAGGCACTTATTAGTATTGATTCATTAGTGTTTTACTCCATTTACAAGAAAGTTTAATAATCATTACGTATTTTAGAAAAAAACAATATAAAATGACTGTTGTTAAAGTTACCACGGCTACGCCCAAAATGAGCATTAAAAACAAGCGGTTTACATATTACAACACAAAGACAGTATCTGCCACACTTCCTTAATGAAGTGCTGCATGGAGCTATAAACAGTAAAGGTGCTTGCTGTTCTGCTTTTGCGAAGTCCACTGTTTCCCTGATTCCTCGCCTGACAGCAGGGACCCTCACACAGTGCAGAGAAGCAGTGGCTTCAGTATGGATAACAGACCCTATCCTGGAGAGTCTGCGCCCCAAAGTACTGTCCATTCTTCCCCTGCCGTCCCTCACCAGAGCCTCGCCTCGGTGAAGAGCAAGTTAACTTCGCGTCACCTTTTGTAGCAAACATGTAGACACAATATTTATTGAAACAGCATCTCATGGTGATCATTAAAAAAAAAAAACCCAAGGGTGTTTATGTTAAAATATCTTGGACTATCTTAAAATTACATACAAAAAGTCATGATATATGAGTTTTACTTAAATAACCAGATAAATAGCAAAAGAGGAAAGGCATATGCACAAGCATACATCATCAAACAAGAAATTGAATGTTACTCTGTACCATTCAAGTTTGAATGAGCTAAGAACAAGTGAGCTTTAAATCGGCTAGAGCTCGAAGTCTGAGCGGACAGGTTTAAGGAAAAGTGTCTGTATTAGGGAGTCCCCTTCACTAGCTTTGAGCTCTGTCATTAGGCTTTCAGAATGATTGATTATAAGGGCAATAATCATACAGATCTTCCTTGCATTCACGCCAGTGCCAGATCTCTGTACGTTTTTGCCAATACCCGCCCTTATTCAGTTCATCTGGATGAACAGTGGGAAATAAAAGTATGTCAAAAAAACAGCCATAAAACAAGACAAAATCCATCCCTGTATTGCGACCCGGGATCCCATGCTGCCTACAGGTCTAGCTCATCTGTAGACCTTGAATTACAAGGAGAGACAGCCCCGGGTGTCTAGGGGGCAACTAAAGAGGTAGGAAGCCAAATTAGTAATCAAATTAATAATAGGTATCACAAATATTTAAAATAAATTAGGAGTGCTGAGTTAGGTGTTCCTGAGAGTTTAGTAGGTGGTTCAGCAGAGAAGCCAAGTGCTTCCCAGATATTACATCTGACCTAGCATTTTAAGGATTTGTCTAAGATCCCCACTAAATGCCCGATCAGAAGTGTCCTAGCCCAAAGCTTCTTAAACCATGGGTCCTCACTCTATATGGGGTTGTCTAACTAAGTGTGCAGTTGAGGAGAATGGCAACAGTAAAATGTTTCTGAACGTGCACTGGACAAAAATTAATTTGAAATTAAACATTCCTCCTGCAATGCTCAGCCAGGGTGTGACGTCAGGGCAGCGCTGGTTCAAGCACACAGCATGTACACCTT